GCTCTTTGAATTCATAGACAACCTGCTTTGGGTAAAATCATATTTTAACATTTTCCGCTGTTCAAAACTTGTTGAAATTCCACAACAGCACAACATGCATTCAAACACACACATACACACACTCACACACAGGTGTGACTAGGTCTTACAAATGGTAGCTTCAAGCAACGAGCTGCTCTGTGGCGCAATGTCTGACTAGATTCCAGCTGGAAACGCGAATTGAGGAGAAGAAACTGCTGCACGATGAACGAACGACCTTAACCGCCTCCTTTGCTATTGCCCAGCTTCGTTGTCTTGCTCTTTCATAATATCTAAAAAATAACCGTTTCTAAATATTTTAGTTCTTAAAATGTTGTATATATTGATAACTCTGACAATGTAAAGGAAAATAACTGCTACGCTATGAATTACATTAATTTCGTTTCTTTTTTAACTAGTAACAATTGCCTAAGCAGAATTTATTTTGTAGCTGGTTGCCTCTAAGTTAACAAATATTTGTAGCTGGAATATATTTAACATTTGATGGAGAATATAGGAAGTAGTATCAGTATGCTCATAGTTCGGAAATGTGTGTGTGTGATGCCTGGTGAAAGGCTCGAGCGACATCGTGTTGCAGCTTCAGGAAGTTATTCTGACACATCCTTTGCCAGGGCGATAGGCAGACATGACATCTCATGGCTGGCAGACGGCAGACGGCAGCCGTAAGAGAGATCTATACGCCAGCCACCTGCCTCGCCCATCAGCTCCATCATTCAGCTTCAACATTTTGAGCGCCTCCTTCTCAGACAGCTCGACAGCTCGACTGTTCTGACTGTTCCGACTGAGATGCTAGCGAGAAAATTGTTGTTGCTAATTTTGTTGCTGCTGTTGCTGTTGCAACTCTCTGTGCTGGTGTTTGTGTTGCTTGCAACAAAGATGTTCTAAATGTTAAGTTATGTTGCTGTTGTTGTTTGCTATTGTGTGTGGCTGTCGTTCTGCTTCTTCTACTTCTACAGATGCGCTTGAATTGGGTCTCTCTTGGCTTTGGGCGCTCAGTAGCTGTTGCAGTTGCAGTTGGCTGTTGTTGCTATTGTTGTTATGGTTGCTTTTATTGTGTAATCAGCAAATAACGGCACTTAATGACTGAATGAGTTTTTCTTGAGCAGAAGCCAGCAAACGGTAGATGCATTTTGCGGTATACGCCATTTTCTAGCATTACTCACGAGGCACGAGACACGAACCATGAGCCATGAGGCATGAGGCACAGAGCGTTACGCGTACGTATCTAGCGCATCGATAACTTTATTTTTGGGCCGCATTCTGTGGTCCCCTTTTATGGCCGCATATGTGTTTACAATCTATCTATGACATGGATAGCTTTGTGTACATTTTTCACATAGAATAGCTACCTTCTAGCACTTTGGCACTTAAGCATGCCGATCGCTGCAATCCATTTATGGAATATATGTAATACTGCCAACGGCACACGCAACTTTTGATTACTGTTGAGCTTCAATGGTTTCCACTGCAAGCTTGGCTAATCAACTGAGGTGCCGCACTAAGACATACCCTTTTCCCTACTCACATATGAAGCTCGTCAGTAGTCATTTCTTAAGACATCGAAGTCAGTTGGTTTTCCAGACAATATGTGAGTACTTCAGTTACTCTAGCTTCGATCTAAGCACGCTAATATTAGTATGGAAAGCGCGCTCCACGTGAGGTTGGAAAGCAACTGCAACTAGACAATTCCCTTAGCTGCACGCATGCTTCATAGAATACTGAGCAGAGTCCAAGCAGCTCAGAATTAATGAGTCAGCCAGCCTTAGACTTACTGGCCAGATCGATTGCCCAACTCTCTTCTTGCAGATGAACGACACATGTTCAGGGTACACGGACCGCACGTTACTTCCTGACTGCTGTGAACCGGTTGAAGATCACTGAGCACACACAAAGCCGCTTGCTGGCATCCGAATAGCGCTCTAGCTAGGTGGCCAGCACTGAGCCTAAGCTTTGTGTTTAACAGGCGGCTCATCAAAGCTTCAATCTACAGGAAGCAAACTTCTGAACACGTGCCCATCTTAAAAGATTAATATGTGTGGAATTTTAAATAAATTAAATTCTTCTTTCAGTTCTGCTTGTGCTCATCGTTGAATATATTCAAACTCTTACAGTGAGTTATCAATTCAAATTCCATAAATTTCATAGGCGCCAATGCAGACGCAACAAAAGATAAACAAATTATCAAATTACCAATGAGATAAGAATAGATAAAAGCAATGAAAGGCGCTGCAAGCGGAAGTTCCAGACTAACACATACCCTAAAACCAGTGTCCAGCAAACAGAGCAAATATTTGAGAGCTCTTTTTTATATATACACAAAAGGCAAAGATAGCGTTAATTGTTTTTAAAAAATTTGTGTGTCTGCTTATCTTGCCTCAGACTTGACTACCAATAAAAAGAAACCTGCTATCGGCATTACATTGTATAAAAGAGTACAACAGAGTTAATGCAGATTCAGATCTTATAACAATAATATTTCTTTAATATGCATTCGCACTTGTCACTAAATTTGCATTACTTTGCGTTGCAGTTACATTAATTTGCACATCTCTATGCATGCCCATGCTTTTTAGATGGAGATTTATGAAAATGTTTTTTAATTGCAATACGTGCTTGGCCAGCAAGTTTTCTACTTATTAACCTGACGCATGCACACACAGCTAAAAGCTAAAAACCACAGATTACAGGTATTATGCATTGAAAATGGTCCAGCGCCAGTAAGTCGATGTTATGTCATTCAGATAAGGCTTAACTTAAGCACTTCCGATGCAGTCAATACTGGTTGAATGGAATTTGCTTCCAGCTTTCATTTTCTTCACAAGAATTTGCAGCTTAAACCGTTTATAAAACAGAATTATTATGTGAAATAAATATCTACTTAACAAAGCTGTTCTAAATGATTCCGTTTGTCAAGTAATTTCATGTGATTTGTTCATTATTTGATTTAAATGCTAATCCCTTCACGGCTCTTCCACACTAATTGATCGATTTTTCAATTCAACTGTTGCCAAAGCAAAGCAATTTGAGAAGAGATTTGAGTATTGATTATTTTAGTACATTACTGAACTGTGTCAAAGCGAACAATGAATACGGCTGGACTGACTAAACACTTCTGGGGCAGCACTAAAAACTCTCTACGACGGCGCATTTTATTACATTACCGTTTCTACCCAGCGAAATGTTGGAAAAGTGCCAAAGTTTATTGAACTGCATTAAGAACAACTCGCACGAAAACAAAAGGAAAACAAAAACTTTAGTGAAATGACAAACGCTGACTTTTAGAGTGAAATAATGGGTCTTGTCATTAATGCAATTCTCAAATTGTGATATAATGAACAACAAATAAATTTTAGCTAATGCTAAATATTTTATATGAATTAAAAAACATCATAACTATTTTTAAAAATATATATTTTATACATATGTAATGTATATACACATATAATGCTATCTTCTGTCAGAAATAGAATTATACAGTCTATAGAGAGCATACTTTTAGGCGTCTCATAAATTTTAATGTTAGAATATTAATTCATATTTGGTCATTAAAAATACAAAATACAAAAATAAATAAAAAAATATATATATAAATTTATATATATGGATGAAAACATTACACTTTCTTATGCAACTGCTCCAACTCTGCTTTAATTAAATATATTTGAATAAGTAAATAAAGAAATTCACATTAATTATCTGTATATTTATATATGTCTATGTATTCCATAGATCAAAGCAATAAATATATAAACTTAATACGAAATTATATTCAAATTTAAAATTTAATCTAAACACTTTGAGCTACAATGACAGAGTCTGGAGACTTAGATTAGATCGCCAAAGATTTGATAATCACAGCTAGACGAGGTCTTTTGTGTTCAACAGATAATGTCACGATGAAAATATCAGGGGAACTGAGGTGAGAAGGCAGAATCGAGATGAAAATTATTGCATACTTTCCTGCGTGGAAATTAATTACTAATGGGCAGTTGATTGACACATTATACTCATTCATAGCAGAATATTCTCTATATTGTGAAACAACTCAATTATTCTGATTGCATTTTTCATTCACTTTCATCTAGCTGACATTGATAGATGCAGTCGACATCTTCAAGCTTACAGCTTGGTTAAATTTTTTTATTTTAGGAATTATAATTTTTTTTTAAATGTCTTAAAATTATTTAAGTAGTTTAATAACAGTGAATTCAGGCTTTTTCTCGTCACAGTGAACACTCGACCCTTGTCTAGCTAACATCTCACCTCTTAAATCAGAGCACTGTGCGCTTAGCTATTCCTATATATAGCTCGCACGTGTACGTAATCCATTATAAACCAGTTTTCGATTAGTTTTTAATAGGCTAATCATACACGCTTATGCCAATAGCAATATAACAATATAACAATTATTTTGCTGTTCTCTAAATATTTAAAATAAATGCAAAGATTATATTATTATTAGGATTTACACAGTTGATATAATTGCTTAACCAAGATTTTATATATATTTATTATTAAAAACTATGCAAAATTGAAAAATAAAAAGTTGTCAAAGGTATTTTTACGTATTATTATATCTTATATGATAGCCATGTGTATTATATAAATTTCTTAACAAGAAAACTCCAAGCAAGACCTATTTGCACAGCTTTATATTTATCTATTATAGATCGAGTTAAAGCAAATTACTCTTGTCAACATTTTTATTAGTAAACATTCAGTTAATGCTTTATCAAAATATTAGCAGTTCTTCCGCATTTTTAATACGTAATAGCACCTGTTATTGCTGGAGACTATAAAGATATGTATTTGTTTTGCCTTTTTCATAAATTAGGCTGCATTTATTGTACTCGCATTTCATTAGAACACAAAAATTCCTGTATTCATTACATTAGAATTATATAATAATTCGTTTTCAGCGTTATCTGAGATTTATTCTCAAATTTAGCTGCATTAGGTGAATCCATAAGCTCGAGACCTGAAAAGCTCAGATACCGGAATCCCAGTGCTTGGTCCATTCAATGGCTTCCAGGCGACCCAAGTCCAGTTTCCAGATGGCGCCGTTCTGGTTAGCTTCAATAGCCTTGACAAAGTTCTGGGCGCACTGCAAGCTAGTCTGAGTGGGATGCTCCAGAAGAAGCTCGGCCACACGAGGCTCAACATCCAGCCACGAATTGAATTTGTGGACCAGCGTTGTCTTCGTGATGCCTGGGTTGATGGAATAGGCAGTTACGCCAGTAATGGGCGCCAGTTTCTATATAGGGGAATGGAATTGAATATTTGTTATTGTATTGTTCTAATCAAACGGCTTATCACTTACAGCAAGGGAATTGGTGAAGCTGAGAGCAGCCGCCTTGGAAGCGGAATAGACGGGCACCTGGTAGATTGCGTTGAAACCAGTCACCGAGCAGATATTGGCAATGACACCTCCTGGGCCGCCCTTGCGCTTGTCCCAGAATGCCATGATGGCTGTGGTGGTGTTCACTGTACCGGCAAAGTTCACTGCAATGGTGCGTTCGATCTGGTAGTCGTCCAGGATGCCAGCGCCATTGATAAGCAGATCCACTGTCTTCAGCTTGTCGAAGATTACCTTGAGCAGCTTTGTGGACTCTGCCACCGAAACAGTTACATCATAGGGGTAGAACGTGATGGTCACCTTTGGGTTGATGGCCTTCAGCTCAGCAATAGCAGCTGGGTTGTCAATTCGATCAAGGATAACCAGGTTCTGAGGAACAAGTCAAGCTTATATTTAAGGATCTATTACACACTCTTGACGATCTCGCGACTGGTGTCCAATCCAATACCACCGAGTCCAGCGACAAAGATGATATTCTTGTTAGCGATTGCCATCTTTTTAGAGTATTTTTTTTTGGTGGCCCGTTCACACGAAAAGTGATTTGTGTGTAGGTTTCACAAGCCTTGTGGCCAGTATTTATAGCCGTAGGGCCACGCTGCCCACGTTGCCATTGACGGCGAATCTCTTTGTTGCTTATCAATACCGCTCGCGGCGAATTCAGGCAGCGTTGCTTGTGTTTTGTTTTGATTCGTTTCTGTTTGGTTTTTTTCCAAAATTCGAAGCAACTCATGCCGGCATATATTTTATTTAGACCCAGGATGACTATTTGTTCGTTTTATGTTGCCTCGTCTATTCGCTCATATCTTTACGTGTCTGAGTTTATGTCTAGAATTTTTAAATTTAATGGTACGCAAGCATGCTGAGCAGAGCATGTGCTGCTCTGAACCAATTTATTTATAAAAAAAACTAAGCGACATGTTGAGAATTGAAATGTTCTGACCTTGCGATACCCTGTTATGTGCAGTCCTATTCTCTTTTATGCAATTCCCCATAAAAAGTAAGAGGAAAATATGAAAACAATTCAATCAACATTACATAATTTTGACTAACGACTTAACGACTGACGAATTATTAATTATTTATCATTTTTATCTGCTTCATCGTATTATTTCATACAACTAAGAGTCAAAGATATAAATTCTATTATGAATTCTATACAAATTAAAGACTATATACAGTCAGCATTAGCTATAAATAACAACTAAGAATAATACAGTCTGGCGCCACAGACTACGTAATACGTATTCACGGTCGAAGCGCTGCCCGCTCAAAATCTTTGAAGCATACGCTTTTATATATTCGCCACGCCCTCAAGAGTTATATATAGAGGAGGTCAATAGTCAGTTAATCGTTAAATTTGAATTTTTTGGTGCATCTATCAAGGAGGTCAATAGTAACTCATTTAAGCTTCAAATTTTTAAGATTTATGCTTTAATGCTTGAAGTACAATAGTATTCAACATTTAACAGAATTTGTGTAATATTGGTGTCTATGTTATACACTGCGGAGCATAACTATAAGCGCACCCACTTTTTCCAGTGTAGAGTCCGTTATAGATGGAATACCGAAAAAGTGTAAATGAGGAATTAAAGGTAATCGAAAATAATATTATTTGAGACCAAAACAAAAACAACAATATTAACGGTACTTTTCTTATCTGCTTTAATGTGGTTTTTGCGCTAGTGCATAACTATAAGCGCACATAGAAAATTTTGGAATTAGGTCTTTACTTAACACTTATTTATTAGATGTTCAATTTTTTTAAAATTTCAATAATGAGTATAGCCTCTATTATTTTGAATTAGTTCAAATAAGCGGTTGGGCATGCTCGAAATTAAATTTTCAAGGGTACTTATTGGAATTTGTTCCCAAGCACTAATTACGGCGGCTTTAAGCTCTCGGATTGTGTCGAATTGCTTATTTTTGTCATAAATGGACCTCACCAGGATACCCCATAGGTTCTCGATTGGATTTAGGTCGGGGGAGCATGATGGCCATTTTAAAACCTCAATTTTGTGTGTGTCCAGCCACTCCAAAGTTTGCCGGCTTCGATGCACAGCAGCATTATCCTGCTGGAACACCCACTTCCTTGCTCCTCTTCTTCGAAATGTCGGCAGTAAATTCATCTGCAACACTTCTATATACTCTGCAGAATTCATACGCGTGCTGGGAAATGCCAATTCCAAGCAGCCATTTACTGCGAACGCACCCCAGACCATTAGAGATCCGCCTCCAAAGTTTCTCTTAGAGAAATATCGTGGATCCTTACGCAAATCCCTCCAATATCCATTGAAGCCATCGGGACCGTCCAAATTAAACTTTTTTTCGTCAGAAAAAATAGTCTGTAAAGTTAAAATAATTAAAATTGAAAACCCTATTGTCCAAATATGTTTTGGAAATTTTTTGTACATTTTTCCAGTCCCTTGCCATGTTGATTCTGGCAAAATCCAGGCGATCTACAATGTGTCGGCTTAGCAACCGAGGTGCTGGTTGAAGCTTTTGTCTTGTAATTACTTTTGACTTCTTTAAAACCCGGTGAATTGTCCAGCGGGACACACTTTGGCCACATTCATCGGCGATTTCACGTGCCGTCTTCATCGAATTGCTGGCAGAACTAATGATCCGTCGCTGGGATCGATCCGAAATTTTCGATTTTGGGCCACCAGTCTTATTTTTACCATAATTTGTGGTATCTTTAAAAAAATTTCTTACTACACAATCGGAACGACCAATCCGGCGAGCTATCTCCCTCTTGGAGACTCCTTCATGAATAAGGGCTAAGATTTTCCCATTCTCTATGTCACTTAAGTATGTACCACGTGGCATTCTCAAATTTGAATATTTTTAAATAATGCTAATCTTCAATTAATGCGCGTAAGTCTAAAGCCAACGAGATTATGAAAGAACAATAGGTGCGCTTATAGTTATGCACTAGCGCAAAAACCACATTAAAGCAGATAAGAAAAGTACCGTTAATATTGTTGTTTTTGTTTTGGTCTCAAATAATATTATTTTCGATTATCTTTAATTCCTCATTTACACTTTTTCGGTATTCCATCTATAACGGACTCTACACTGGAAAAAGTGGGTGCGCTTATAGTTATGCTCCGCAGTGTATATATATAAAGTCAGTTCCAAATCAGACATTTAATTTTTTCGTCAGCTCAAAAACTGTCTAAATAAGTTTTTCCATGATTTGCCCCGCCCTCATAGGTCGAAGATGCATTCACTATTTCTTTGTAATCTTGGGTTGTCAACGAGAGTAAACTGTTAAGTCAAAGCACTGTGTCATTAGCTACTGTATATATACAGCTATATATATATCGTATATATAATCGATTAATCGCAGGTTCCTTCTTGAAACCAGTTTTCAATTAGTTTTGAATGGGTTAAAAATGAACATAAATATATATATATATATGCTAATAGCAAAAGCCGGCGCCACAAGCCACAGCATACTATAGCAACTATTTATATTTGCTTGTTTTCTGAACATTTCAAATTCATTTAAGTGAATTATCATTTGGCGTAAACTGAACACAAAGACTTTAAAGGCTTTAAATTCAGCACGTAATAAATTCTTTTCGCTACGTAGATCTAATTTTTATATATTACCTAACAGTAAATAACTGTATGCATGTAGATTGCAGCTGATTTTTTTGCTTATCTGATCTAGAAATAACCCGATCTTATTATATTATATTATACAAAACTTTTAAAAGCTCATTGATATTTTAAGGTGCTCTATCATATTTATGGGAGAAACTTTTAAGTTTCGACACATTTTTAACCGCAGATTTCTATTACCCATTTGAAATAATTGTTTTGCCAACTTTTTAAATTATAATCGTATATTTATTAGATTAGAATGATCTGAATAATTTGATTTCAGCCTTATGTAAGAATTATTTAACAATTTAGATCAGTTAGGTGCCTCGGATCTCTGCCTGCCATAGACTCCTGGCTCTGGTCATCGACAGTGGAATAGTTTAGATACCGGAATCCCAGTGCTTGGTCCATTCAATGGCATCCAGGCGACCCAAGTCCAGTTTCCAGATGGCGCCATTCTTGTTGGCTTCGATAGCCTTGACAAAGTTCTGGGCGCACTGCAAAGTTGTCTGAGTTGGGTGCTCCAAAAGCAGCTCGGCCACACGAGGCTCAACATCCAGCCACGAATTGAATTTGTGGACCAGCGTTGTCTTCGTGATGCCTGGGTTGATGGAATAGGCAGTTACGCCAGTAATGGGCGCCAGTTTCTATATAGGGGAATGGAATTGAATATTTGTTATTGTATTGTTCTAATCAAACGGCTTATCACTTACAGCAAGGGAATTGGTGAAGCTGAGAGCAGCCGCCTTGGAAGCGGAATAGACGGGCACCTGGTAGATTGCGTTGAAACCAGTCACCGAGCAGATATTGGCAATGACACCTCCTGGGCCGCCCTTGCGCTTGTCCCAGAATGCCATGATGGCTGTGGTGGTGTTCACTGTACCGGCAAAGTTCACTGCAATGGTGCGTTCGATCTGGTAGTCGTCCAGGATGCCAGCGCCATTGATAAGCAGATCCACTGTCTTCAGCTTGTCGAAGATTACCTTGAGCAGCTTTGTGGACTCTGCCACCGAAACAGTTACATCATAGGGGTAGAACGTGACGGTCACCTTTGGGTTGATGGCCTTCAGCTCAGCAATAGCAGCTGGGTTGTCAATTCGATCAAGGATAACCAGGTTCTGAGGAACAAGTCAAGCTTATATTTAGGGATCTATTACACACAGACACTCGCTTACCTTTGGGCCACTCTTGACGATCTCGCGACTGGTGTCCAATCCAATGCCACCGAGTCCAGCGACAAAGATGATATTCTTGTTAGCGATTGCCATTTCTATAGAGCTGCTCTCTAGCTTGTTCACCTGTTCCGACGAAAAGTGAATTGCTTATACGTCTTACTAGCTGTGTGCCCAGTATTTATAACCGCAGTGGCACGCTGCCGGTCGTATTGCCAGCAAATCTCTCAGTTGGCTTATCAATAACGCTGGCAGCGACCTAGACGTAGACGTAGACGTAGACGTCGACGTTGACGTCGACTTTGACGCCAGTTCGAGCAGCGCGTTGGTGTTTTGTTTTGATTCGTTTCTGTTTGTTTGTTTTTGTTTTTTTTTCTAAATTCAAAGCAAATCTTGCCGGTTTTACGTATTTCATGTGCTTTTTTTAGACTCAAGATAATTATTTTTCTTTTCGTTTTGTCTTCATATATTCGGTCGTGTTTTTGCGTGTTGACGCTTATGTGTATAATTCTTAAATTAAATTCTACGCAGCCACGCAGAGTACATGCGCAGCTTCCCTGAACTTATTTATTTATAATAAAACTAGGGGACAAAAAATTGAAACTAGCATTAAGATGTTCTGAACCTTGCGATACCCTCTAGTGCACTCACTGATATACAATTCTTTAATATCAGTTTATCAATTGATTAAGTATTAAGTAAATAGTTTGAGCTAAGTTCATTTATTTTTTTTCTGCATCGTAATTATTTGCCACAACTAAGAATATGTGAACTATAATTAAATGCATTCAGTATAAGCTATAAAGGCAAAGGCAGGTAGCTACAAATTTTATGAGCTGTTCTGGATGAAATACCCCTAATCACAGGATGTGATCGACAAACTACTGACGTCAATCTCATGGTGAACAGTGCAGGGCAATTAAGAGAAAGTAGATAAGATTTATGGACAACTCTCATCTAACAAACCCTTAAACCGATAATCAGCAACCCTCGCAATGTGGAAACCAGTTCTGACTGGTTTGGAATAAGCTAAATAAATGTACACGCTCCAACCAATAGCAAGGCTACATATACTATAGCAACTGTGTTTGTTTTCTTCCAAACCAAATTTGATACTCGATATTTAAAATTCAAAACGTAGAAAACAGTTCTATGTTTAGATCTAATACTGTATATAGAACCTAAAATTAATTTACTGAATACATGAGGAATACAACTTCGGACCTTATCTGAGCAAGTAAAAAAAACACCAAATGCATACTGTTCATAAAATAATTTTATTTATTACACGATTTTAAAATCGTGTAAGTCTTTCTAGTAAAAAGAAATCTAGTCCCTACTAAATTCCGATTGGTCGAAATATAAGATTAGATATGCGAATCCCAATGCTTGGTCCATTTGATGGCTTCCAGACAACCCAAGTCTAATTTCCAGATAGCACCATTCTTGTTCTTCTTAATGGCCTTGACAAAGTTCTTAGCACACTGTTTAGTTGTTTGTGTGGGATACGCTAGAAGCAGCTGGGCAACACAAGGCTCCACATCCAACCACGAATTGAATTTGTTGACCAACGTCGTCTTCGTGATACCTGGGTTGATGGAGTAGGCTTTTACGCCTGTAATGGGCGTCAGTTTCTATATAGAGGAATCAATGTAAATATCGATGGTCAGTTTTATGCAATCCTGTTATCACTTACTGCTAGAGACATTGTGTAGCTAAGAGCTGCTGCTTTTGAGGCGGAGTATACGGGCACCTGGTAGATTGCGTTGAAACCAGTCACTGAGCAGATATTGGCAACCACACCTCCTGGGCCGCCCTTGCGTTTGTCCCAGTATGGCATGATGGCAGTGGTCGTATTCACTGTGCCTGTAAAGTTTACCGCGATGGTACGCTCAATTTGGTGATCGTCAAGAATGCCAGCGCCATTGATAAGGAGATCCACTTTCTTCAATTTGCCAAAGATTTTCTTCATAAGCTTTGCAGAGTCCTTTAATGGAGCGGTTACGTCATATGGATAAAATATGACGTTAACATCTGGGTTTATAGCCTTTAATTCATCAATAGTTTCTGGTTTTTTTAACCGATCCAGGATTACCAGATTCTAAGGAATAGTTCGGGGTTATATAAGGATCTATTACACGAAGTTACTCGCTTACCTTTGGGCCACTCTTGACAATCTCGCGGCTGGTGTCCAATCCAATGCCACCGAGTCCAGCAACAAAGATAATATTCCTGTCAGCGATTGCATCTTTAGCGCATTTGTCCTGTTCAACGGAAAATTTGCTTATAAGTTGAAATTATTACACTGACTTCCTAATTGAATTGATAACCCTACTGTCTCGCTGCCGGTCGTATTGCCGGCAAATAAAAACGCTGGCAGCGAAGTCGACGTTGACGTCGATTTTGACGCTAGTTTGGGCAGAGCTTTAAATAGTTACATATCCAGGCCTCTGTGTAAGTCGTGGAGGCGGTCAACCTCGAGGTCGATGTCTAAGTAATGAAATGCTTAGCTGCAAATACAGGAACAAATACAGTGATATGCAGCACTATAGCGAGGCACACTCGCACACATATATTATACATATATGGAAACATCGAGCACCGAGATAGGTGACGGGAGAGGCAGTTAGTTCGCAGCTCGCATGTAGATTTAACCTTCAGTGAATGTCAAAGCAATAGACATAGTCAAGAATCTTGTTTGTTGTGGTCGCAAATTGAGCATCGGCTGATTTGCATCTAGCGAGCAGCGCGTCACTAGAAAAAGGGGCGTGGCCACTAAAAATTATCAAGTTGGGCCCAACAAGTACCTAACACGTATCTCATTCCGCAAATAACCAATCCCACATAATTTACGAGCCATTTTAAAGTGGTATGTCAACAATTTGCTCGTGCGAGAGAAATTCATGTTCGGACTATATATATTAATTAAGTCTGTACTGCAAGCATATACATATATGGTTCACTTGAGCAATTCTGTACGCACACGTCTAATTTATACTATAGTGATACGTATACATACTGTTGTCTGAGCCCCCCAAGACATTCTGAATGTTTATTTACCTAAAAAGAGTTTCCTAGCTATTTGTGTAGGGGTATTTGTGACCGATAAATATTATCATTTTAAAGGTTTGGGCACTAGATTAGTATTGGACTCGCCACCTAAATACATTTTGTTATCTAATATAAAATTTAGAAAACGAGTATACCCTATTGACCATCCATGTGCCATGCCTACTGGGTATGAGAAAGTATATCTATGACTGGCAGGTTGCCAAACACACGCGCCGGCATTTTATGTTTTCTTATCCAACTTGAATTTTTCCACCAGTGGTCTATGATAAGGTTTCTAGCTAGATCAAAAGCATTATATAATTCGTACCATTATGAGTTTTAAAAGCAATAGCAACTGAACAAATCGCATAATTAATTGGTTTTCGATCTTTGAATGACCCTTTAAATAATTAGTAGAACGTGCCTGTCATAGTGCGAACCCTAAGGCACCTCGAACGTCTGTTGATAGGGCGTCTTATCAGGCATCCACGAGTTCGGACTATCAGTTGCATGTATTATATTATCAGAGGTGCTGTATTTTATGTTACCTAGCACTCAGCTAGCCCTTCGACAGACAGCAAATCTACATATTAAATTTAATTTGAAAATAAACTGGATTCTATTATATATTTATTGAACTGAAAGGGCTTATATACTAATGAGACGTAAAGCTGAGAGGCTCATTAGACTAAGTATAGCATATACCGTAAACAAATACAAACAATTACCGTAATTTAGGCTGTCCCTGTTAAGTCACTATACCAATCAGTCCGTCAACAGTCTATCATCGCAACTAGAACAGTCATTCAAATGTCAGGAAAATGCATAACCCGAGATTCACAGGGCAAAATGTAAATTTTAGAATCTCAAAGCGATATGAAAAGCAATTGATTTGAAGCGTGGTATTAATAATACCCTATAATTTCCTGTGTATGAAATATTGTACTGTATTTTTGCTCGCTTTATGAAGTTGTATTTAAATGTAAGAGACCAAAATTGTGTGTGCCACACCTTGTACACAATTTAGCACAACAGCTATCTGTGCAGTTAATGGGGAAGCGGGAACTTTTATTAAAGTTTAATAAACTGTTGGGTCCCGCTTATACGCTGCAACATTTCAACGTCATCGCGGCTGAGGCCTGGGCTTAATTTGCTTTGACTTTTAGCAATTTACATAAATATCAGCCCCACAATAAATATCACTAGGGCCAGTTCTCGTGCACTGGGTCTGCGGGTAGATGAATCTACTACCCAGTATCCATTGCCACGTTGCTGAGGCTGCGCATTTGTTATGATTTCTGCGTTCATCTGCACCAACAATAACAATCAGAACCTGTATAGATGCAATCTCATGGCTTAGTAATTTTTTAGCGGGGCTGGCGAGGCGACATATGCAAGAATTACGATTCCTTCTCTTGAAAGGGGGCGTTGCGGCCTTTTCCAATGGCAATAATTTACCTTCATCACCTCTCGTATGCAAACGAAAATTCAAAAATACTAAAATGCTAATGATCTGACAAAGTACGGGCCATGGCACAGTTCTGAAATGTAAATATCTTTCTAGATTAGCGCTCAGTGGGTCGTCAGCTAAGTACCCTTCTTATATGCTATGCGAAAGCGAGAGATAACTAATGATCAGCTCCATTATATATTACATATTATACAATTTCAAATTAATTTATGTTGTTCTTTACAGCGTTGGCAACGACGATGGTTCGTCCTCTACGATGATGGGGAGCTGACTTATTCAGTGGATGATTTTGTAAGTATCTTAAATGTATTATTAATTATTCTAGCTGTCAAAGGACTCAAAAACCCTGCTATTAGATCTATCTAAGATACACCTTCCTTATCTTACAGCCCGAGACGATACCACAGGCCTGCATCGACATGACCAAAGTACTCGAAGTAAGCAGCGCCGAGGAGGTCACCGGCCATACAAACTCCATTGCCATAACAGCGCAGGAGCGCGTCACCTTTGTGAAGGGCATAAGTCCGGACGAGTCGCAATGGTGGCTCAATATATTGACAGCCTTTCCCAAATCGAAGGGCCGCCACAAGCGTAGCACCACACTGCCCGGAGGTCAGATCAGCTGCCTGCGGCAGTCCTCAAACGTGGACATGGCTATCAAGTTGGGCAACCGCCATAGCTCCTATCACAAGGATACCCTAACGTCTTCGCAATCGGCTGGCAATCTGCTATGTAGTCTAGACGACAGCAACTCTACGAAAAATGTTGGCCTAACCGTCAGTGCGATGGCAAATGATGATGCGGACGATGGCGTTGAGACGGGTGAGGACGAAGAGGATGAGGATGAGAATCAGCGACAGTTGTCTAGGAAAACAAAAGCCACGTCACCAACGAGCTGCCATGGGGGACAGGATGAGAATAATCGAAATGCTGGGAATGAAATCACTAATCGTGGTAAGATTTCCATATGGAATATGTATATATATAAGTTATAAGCTAAGCTGTACTCGCATTATAAAGATGAAGTGACTTTTACTTTTCGCCTCAAAGCATTTATTTGCACAATCTGTTTTATGATTGTGATTTTATTCCCCCCCGTCCGATCGAGGCATTTTGTAGTTGGGGTTTGTTTTTGCCTTTGCTTTTGTTCATTTTTCGCTGCCCTCTTTGTATCGGCTGCTATAATTTTTATGATCATTTATGGCTTGCAGCAATCAAAATTATCGGGCACAGACCAGGAGGACGCTGAGCTGGGTGGCACAGGGGAGGCGATGCGTCGCCTTGTTGCAGCGCTTGCGTAGGCCATGTTATGGCACAGGGGGGTTTTTGGGGGCGGTGCGTGTAGCTAGTTAAAGAGCCGACTACGAAATTAACCTTGAATTCACACAGTAACAACGCGAGTCACAGCAACGTCCAGCAACTGGCCACCTTCTCCCCAGCTGCCTACTTAATGGTAGGCTTCATAAATTTTGCCTTAGATCCAGCAGGCGCACACAATGCCCAAATGGTCCCTGCCCTTGCGCAGATCTCAGGTCTGGAGGTCTTAGCGCTCGGCTGGACTCGAGTTCAGGTAATTGCAGTTACTGTGAATGTTCCCACATACATTGCTGCAGGATACTTGTTCATGGAAAAATGATATTCATGCTAAAATTATAGTGTATTTACATCGTGGTTCTTGTCGTTCTTGTTACTCTGTGTTCTGCGTAGGTTTCTGCCGTTATTTGATCCCTGATGCGTCTAAGAACTCACGTTGCATATGCCAAGTGAGTCTTAGTCATATAGCCTAACTAGCAACTCTGATTTTATCTAGTATTGTATAGCCGGCTAAGCCCTAGCTCAATATTTTAGCTATACATATTCCCTGAGTTTCTTGGGGTATCTTCCAGTCGAGACCTCTCAAATAGAGCACTGTAACTTGTTTTCCTACGCCTGGAGAGTGAAGTCTGCTCCATGGATAGACCGCCCTGCACTAAGACCCGAAGAAACAAATCTACATGTTGGCTGTGTGTTATGTTGTGTACGTGGTGGGGCTTTTAATGGGCGAGTTTCACGGCAGTTGCCACAAAGTGAATAATTACAGTGCAAATAAATCTTGCAGTCAAAGAATGGACCAAAGATTAAATGGGCTAGTCGTCGCTTGAGCGAACATTGCAAAATTATGTATGGCAAATTATGCATCCAAAGGTGACGAACACACAATTGCTAGACGTGTATGGCTGTATATGCTAATCGCACTGGCCTTGATTGGAGTAAATAGGTTTGAAATATAGAACTGAATGCAAATTGCGGCAGCTGAAGCAAGGTCCTACTTCAGGCATTCAAATAGGAAGTCAAAGATGCAGCAGGCTAGGGCCGAGGCATATACGAAATACGATTTAGGTGAGAGACCAAGTGCAGCAATAACCAATCAATATTCATGAGAGGACGCGTGCGAGTACATTTAGTGGAAGTAGCCGAGCAGCCAGTTAGAAATTATTCAAAGTCATGGCATAAGAGGAGTGCCTTAGGCTGCCAACCTAGTTGGCTCAGCTTGTTCCAAAAGCAGCAACCGAACAGGCAAATGAACTTGCAATTTGATTATTAATTATGCTAAGGCGGAGTCAAAGCTGGTTTACTTGCTCATGACTGAGTGGACTAAATTGCTGAGCTAATTAATCAAACGCGTTTAATTAAAAAATTTTATTCATGTGATTATTCTTCCTTTATTGACTTCAATCGGCATGCAAAAATCTAGAACCCTTTAATGGAATGCCACTAACTAAGGTTAGGAAGAGAATACATATGGACTAAATGCCATTTATACATTGTAAAGTCAGCCAAGTTAATATCAATGTCTGCCAGTTCACATAATACTAAGCATTATAAATTCAATTGCTTAGTCCCAAAGCACGTCGAGCTAAGCCTAGTCAACGGCAACGCCGCAGCCGTCGTCATCGTCTTTCCTCAGCAACTGCGACCGACAAGTCGGCCAATTAAAGGCATGCCCCAGCATTTAGCACAGTAACCTTGAACCTGCTTGTTGAGTCAGTCGCGAAGTTGGCAACATGATCCAACGGAGGCTGCTTTAGCCAACAAGTTCACAGTGAAAGAAGTCTGTTTTTCGATTTCTTCTCATTTCTTATACGTTGCCTACAACTTAATATAATCAAGATAAACGCAAGGAGTTCGATTGGCCAAAAGTTAGCTAAGAGTTCAACCTGTCCGACTGACCGAATTGATGCACATTCAAGCGCTCAGTTCGTTGCGTTAAATCCATTAAAAAGGAAAAACTGCCCAGCCTGGTCGCAAATTTGTGTTATTATCATACAAATTCAAAAACAGGTCCAGCCAGGCCCAAGGGCACTTCTAAATATATATTTTGTAATCATATATATTTATGGGACAACTTCAGCAGCAATGCCTCCGATAGTTCCCCGATGGATCGTTGACTCGTTTGGGTGTTAATAAAATTATGGCACTACTACTACACCACGACTACTCGTCACTCACAGGTTATTTTAGGTTTTTTCTGTTTGCTCTGTGAAAACTTGTTCGGCTTATCGTGAATCTCTGCCACGAAAGGGATCCTCTTACCAGCCGACTCGTTTTAATAATTTTATTATGCTCGGCAACAAATAACGCTCAGTGGTTTATGGCTTTTCGGTTGATAACATTTCTGGGCATATGGAATCCATGAGCAACCATTGACACTGATACGATGTTAGTCTAAGGCAAAGAGTCATTCATATTTCGATGCACCTAATGCAAGCGCCTGTTCAATTTGACAGCCTACAGCATGGTAATTCACTAATTTATTATCTCTTCGCAGTTTCCCAACCCACTGGCTGCTTGCTGATCGAGGACATTCGACGGGACGAGAAATCGATCAAGGATATTGCCAATACGATAACTAACCTTAGTCAACAGCAGAACAAGCGCTGGTCGACGGCTGTCAACAATGCGCTGAACAATCATTACCAGTATCAGAATTCGCGCGATGAGACCGACTTCCAAGTGACGTCCTCTGCTAAAACCGAGCAAACGACTGCCAATCTGAGACCAAAGTCATTACCACTGGCGGCCAATTCAACGCCAGCCATTGTGTCCGCAATAGTCAAAAAGATACCCACAGTTTTGGTGTCTCAACAGCAACAGCAACAGTCGAAGCAACAAGCGGAGAGCGCAAAGAGCGGAAAAGCCGGCAGTCGATTGCAGCTGCAGCTGAAACCCGCTAAACACTATCAGCATGAACGTGGAGATCCCGATGGCGGATGCAACCTGGATGAGCTGTGCGCCAACTACTTGGCCAAGTCGGATGAGCTAAGACCCGTGATCAAGTCCAGCAAGTGCACAGCCTCCAGCAAGTCGTCGGCCAAGACCCTAAAAGAAACCCTAAATGCCAAAAAAGGCTGGCTCATGAAGCTGGACAACCGCACGGGCGAGTGGAGCAAGCACTGGTTCACCCTAAGTGGTGCGGCGCTCTTCTACTACAGAGACCCGTTATGCGAGGAGAGAGGAGTGCTCGACGGTGTTCTGGACGTTAACAGCCTGTCGAACGCAGTAGAAGAGCCCAGCGTAAGCAAGCAGCATGCCTTTCAGCTAATTACGTGGGACAAACAGCGGCTATTCCTGGCCGGCCTCTCGCCCAGCTCACGAAACAGCTGGCTGGCGGCCTTGCGAAGTGCAGCAGGTCTGCCACAACTGCTGGAGACCACAGCAGCAACGGTGTCGCCCACGGCAATAAAGCAGAGCGACATTGAGCAGGACTTTATTAAGGCGCAACTTCAGACGAACCCACACAGCTCTAGTCCGGCCACGCCGGGAACACCGGCAAATGCGCCGCATTTCTCCTCTGACGAAGAGTACCGCACTGCCTCGGAGGGCGGCCGTCGAGACAGCCTCGATTGGGGCTCGCCGCTGTCTCCGTCGCCGCCAGTTCTGCGCAGCTGCCTGCGCAATCGCAGTTTGGCTAGTCTACACAAGCGTAGCCGTAGCTCCCCGCCCAGCTCACGTCGCAGCACAGTCGATAGCGTGGCCAGCGATGAGCTGCCTTTGATGGCAGTGCCCGAGGAGATGCGGCCGGACCGTGAGCTCAAGCAGCAATGCGAAACGCTGCGCACAGAGGCCAAGCTACGAGAGGCACGCATGTCCGAGCTGCTCTCCACACTGCAGCGCACCGAACAGGAGCTGACGGCGCGGCTGCAAGAGCAGCAACAGCAGCTCAATGGCGAGCTGACCAACGCCAAGCAAAGTGCAGCGGAACTTGTGCATGGCCTCAGCTTGCAGCTGACGGAGAGCCAGTGTAAGATCAAACAGCTGGAAGATCGACTGGCGCAGGGCATTGAGGAGAACGAGAGTCTATATAAGCGACTGCGTGAATTCCAAGCGGGCAATAGTCAGGGTCAGGTGCCCAGCTTGAGCAATCTGCAGCGTCACAAAATGAAGCGCATGGACTCGCTTAGCGATTTGACTACGATCAGCGATATAGATCCCTATTGCCTGCAGCGGGATTCGCTGGCCGAGGAATACAACGAGCTGCGCAGCCGGTTCGAGAAAGCCGTCAATGAAATTCGCGCCATGAAGCGAGAGCTCAAACAGTCCCAAAACCAATACGATGCCCTCGAGCTAATCCAAACAGCTCTGCAGCAGAAATTGGAACGCAGCCAGATGGAGGATGGTGCACAGCTGCAACTGATGGCCGCTCGCATTCAGGATTTGACGATTAAGTACAGCACCTCGGAACGGCAAGTGCGCGCGCTTAAGCAGAAGTTGGCCAAATCCGAGCGACGACGTTCACTTTCATTGAAAGGCAAGGAGCAGCTGGAGCTCAAGCTCAGCGAGATGCAAAGAGAAAATGTGGAGCGCAAGTCCACTCCAAGCTCCAACCCAAGCACCGAGTCTAGCAGCGAATCTAGCAGCCAGTCATCGCCCCTGAACTCCCATCTGCTGCAGCGTCTGCATAGCCTAGAGCATATTCTGCTTAGCAGCAAGGAGCGGCTCGAGCAGAGCGTGACCCAGCTGCAGCATTTGCGTGCGGGTCATCGCAGCCGTCGATCCGTGTCGCCACTGAATGAGCGAAAGGACGGACTAAGGCAACTGGAGCGCGCTCTCACCGAGACCTGCGTCCTGGTCAGCGAGCAGATGGAATTGTCGTGCTTGCAGGATTCCTGCCATAAATGCTGTGAGCTGCGGCAGCGCATCGATAAGATGACAACACTTCAACAGCAGACCGAAACGGATCTCCAGCGAAGCGAACAGCTGCTGGAGCAGCGCGAGAATGAACTGGCCATTGCCCTTGAGAAGTGCGTCAGCCAGGAGCAGGAGCAGCAGCTGCTGCTGAAGCAGCGCAACGAACTAAGCGACGAACTGGGCCAACAGCAGGAGCGCTGCAAGCGAATGGAGAAACGTCTCGATCTGCTAGAAAAAGAGCACGGCAAGCAGCTGGAATGCCTCAGGGAGGTCTATAGCCACGAGCACGCCAATGTGCCAGACGAGCCAAGTTTCCGCAAGCGCTATCAGACGGAAATTGAACAGCTAAGGGTATGTCATTATCTATTTAAATAACGGTAAATATATAACTATTGCATTCCTCTCAAAGACACTATGCGAGAAGGGACTCAGTGCCATGGAGTCATCGCATCGTCGACTAATCTGCGACATGGAGGAGAAGCACAAGCTGGAGATTGAGCGTCTGCTGGCAGAGAAGGAAACAGCCTTAGCTGAGGAAACGCAGGTTTGTATTGCCGACTGCATTAGCTTCGTATGCGATCTGAACACTTCTTAAATTCTAGGCAACTTTGGCTGCTCTGGATGCTATGCGTAAAGCACACCAGAGCGAGGTGCAGCGCGAGGTGTCGCGCTTCAAAGCTGAGTTCCTGCATCAGGTGCAGCGTGGGGAACATATGCGAGGAGATGGCGTCAAGCTGAAGGAGTAAGTGCTCAGTCAATGAACCCATTTAAATATTTTAACTATTTATGCACTCTTTTTTATAGAGAGGAGCTCGACGAACTGCGTCTAGAAATTCTGTCCTTCTCCGAAAAGTATTCCATAAAATGTGTGGAAAATGCTGCACTGGAGGAGAAACTGCATCTGGCCAATGGCAAGCTGCGGCACTTCCAGCAAATGCAGCAACTGGAGTTGAGGTAAGCTATAACTAGAAATTGTCAATTTTGATAGATTAACAATCGTTTCATACTGCAGAAATCGACAATTCCGGGCGCACTTGGCCTCTGAGGACCCAGGAAGCGATATGCACTTTGTGCAGGGCCTGACGACAGGCTCCAAGGAGGATGCTGCCTGCCAAGACAGTGAGGTGGGTATTTCTGCTACTTTAATATGTAGATCTAAGACGAGCAACACTATGTATAAAATATCCGTGACTAACCCTAAACCAAAGAAATGGCCAAAAACTAATCCACTTTGTTACCATCTTCCACAACACAAAAACATCACAACCAAAGCCTGTTCAGAGCTCACCACAAATGGTTGATATAAACACACGAATCACAACTACAACAAGTACAACAACAACTGCATCTATAGACCCAGACACAGACCCCGTAACGGCATCGAGAGAGCCCGATAAAATGGAGCAAAACCCGTTTGTGATACCCTCCCATGAGCTCAGTCGTTGCCAAGCGTCTGCCACAAGCATTTCTGATTCCGGCAAAGATATCGATATCGCTGACAATGAGCTAGCCTACGAGCCGTGCTACAAGCCCTACGATATATTTGCCATATATCAGAATCGTTTATGTTTTCAAGGTAAACGAATTGCATTTCACTTTCCTATCACGCTGATCTGCGCACCGCCGAACACTGTCTAAAACGCATTTCACTGTGGTCCTCTATCTCTATTCCTATCCACTATTAGTTAGCCCACAGCAGCGATATATGTATATGTTGTCTATTCTGTTATCTGGTGTGGAGTGTAAGCATTTCTATGTGCTTGAGATAATAAATGTTGTTTTCCACTAACACACGCACACACATTCAGCACACACACACACACATGGTTTTACATGTAAAAATCATCCAAAATTTATCTAACTAAATAATTGCACTTTGTTCTTTTTATCTAAGGTCTGAAAGGCAACTCGACGTTTGGAAAGAATTTACGAAAGTCCACTGCTAAAACAACATCACCAGCATCATCAGCAACAGCAACAGCATCAGCATCAGCATCAGCAACTGCACTAGCAACTGCTAATAATCTTAACCTGCCCAATTCGAAGGGATCAAGTCACAAAAGAATATATAAAACAGCTGCCGTCATTAACATACAGCAACAGCACAACCCTGACAATGAAATACAACAGGAAAAAGCACAATGAACAATGAAATAGCGAAAAGCTAAATGGAAAACAATTGAATGGAAACCCATAACCAAGAGCGAACAACAGCAACAACAAAACCAGTGGAACAACCAAAGAATAATTAGTGCTAATAATAAATAAATTATAATAAATATTTAACATGTAAAAACAAACTTAAACCAAATGCAAAATCGAATGGAAATACATAAATATGAACATGGCTAACAAAGATGATGTTGGTGATGTTGCTGCAGCTTCTCTTAACCAGGAGCGATTAGGAGAAAGAGATTGAGTTACACTAACAACGACTGTTCGCCCCCCTCCGCCATAAGCTGGAAGGGACGTTGAGCAATGGAAAACTAATCACAATATCCACGGCACCAATAACACCTACAACAACAACAAGATCATCGTAAGCTAGCAACTAGCTGGCGTTTTAATTATTGGCTACAAATGGAGTCTCTTTGTTGACGAAAATATTTTATGTATTTATCAGCTATTTTATCATTGTATTGTATCTGTAACATCTACCCAAACTTTCTATGTCCATTAAAAGTGTCATTTACTTGTGTAGTATTTAGGCCAATTTGAAAAAGCAAGCAAAAGTTAAACCATAAATATGCTCAACTATTTATACGTAGATGGCATTGTCAGTAATTTGTTAGATTTTGTCTTTAGACCTGAACAAAATTGTTTTGCTGCATACATACATGCATATTACACATTACAAATATAAGTGCATTATAAATATTAATAAATTAAAAATCTATTTGTTCTGTTAACCATTGGTATTAATCAAATATTTTACTTATGAATTTTATTCATACCACATTAGTGGCAAACGCAAAATATTTTATATTATTTACAATTAAGTCGTTATTTGTGCAAAAAATTTAATAAAGTATAATTAATTGTTTATAGTTTGAAAAAAATTTATTTTTCTACTTGGGCTCGTCCGGGATTTGAACCCGGGACCTCCCGCACCCTAAGCGGAAATCATACCCCTAGACCAACGAGCCAGTTGATTTAATCTGGCCAATAAAGCTATTTAAGTAAAAAGAAACAAAAACCCGGTATTTTGCTTAACCAAGGCGAATAGGTTTAACCAAGGCGAATGTGGTCTTTCGTGGCGGTACCTTATAATTTTTGTAAAAATTACTACCTTCAAATAATACTGTATTTATACCGTATTAATAATTTTTTCATGAACAACGAAGTATAACCGGCTCGTTGGTCTAGGGGTATGATTTCCGCTTAGGGTGCGGGAGGTCCCGGGTTCAAATCCCGGACGAGCCCAGTGTGTACTCTTTTTTTAAACAATTTGATGAAATCTAATATCAGAACGGACAAAGAATCAGACGCCCATGACGTGCCTTATTTTGTTTGTCTACCTTACAAAAAAAACCTTAGTTTGTTGCAAACACCTATTACTAATTGTTAAAGATAATATATAAATTAAAGTAACTTACCTTCCCTTTATCGTCACCATCTGATTTGTCCACTTTTGATCGCCTGCTTAGGGATAAATTCCAAACAAGCGCATCCTTTCCTTTATGGTCGATACGGGGTATATCTGTACACCTGGGCAGTTTGGAAACGAATCTGGTTGTATAAGAAACTCCATGTTTGAACACTACAGGAATATTTTTCATTTTTGGTAAAAAATAAAAATGGTCCTAAAAATTTAGAAAAAGGCTAAAATGTTGTAGGTTTGGCTGCGCAAACTCGACTGATAAATTCTGTAAAGGAATTTCATCAAGTGCGTGAGATTTGTAACAGGAAATGCAAAGCAATAGATACCATAAAAAAAATTTAATCTTGAGTGTTGGACTAGCCCCAGAAAATCTAAATTTTAAAGCAAACTACATAGCTTTTATCTATGCATTTTTTTAAGTATTTGTTTAATACATAAATATTTTATAATTTATTTATATATATATATATATATATATATATATATATATATATATATCTATATATATATTATATATATATTAAATATATATTTATAAAATACTTTTTTAAATAATTTTATAATTTATATATATATATATATATATATATGTATATATATATATATATATATATATATATATATATATATATATATATATATATATATATAAATTATAAAATTATTTAAAAAAGTATTTTATAAATATATATTTAATTATAAAATAAATATATATTTCATTATAAAATGATTTAAAAAAGAAGATACTGCCTGGGCTCGTCCGGGATTTGAACCCGGGACCTCCCGCACCCTAAGCGGAAATCATACCCCTAGACCAACGAGCCGATGTTCCAAAGTTCGACTAAAAATAACCTGTAACAAACGCAACTTTCAAAATTTAAGCTTTGCACATTACAGCTTTTTAAAAGCTTTTTGTATTTTAAGTATAATCTATTCTTACACGTCGTACCTAAAAAGCGAATGAAATGAACATTATATGCCTGCGTATTTGATGATTATTTTTAACTTGAACTAACAAAATTAAAGACAACTTTTACTAACACCAAAAACGTAATTTATTAACCTTTAAAAAAAGGAAAAATTTCACCAAAACATTGCACAAATTGAAGACAGATTGCGATTGTTTCCGATCAAGATAAAGACCAATTGATGGATTCACAAAGCTGGCGAGCCTCAACAAACCAGCCCACAAACAAAGACCGACCCGACCACAAGGCATTGTCGCAATAGCAGCAGCAGCCACAACATCAAGAACACGTTGTAAAATAAACAATTGGTAATTGATACTGTTTGTGCCACATTCAGACTATTGGGATTTGGAATGGGATTCGGCCAGAAGTGCTTAACATACAGACCCGGTAACATACATTCGCTGCAAGCGCAGCAATTGGTTCGTCATGTTCAACCCACATGTGAAATTGTAAGGTCTGAAAACCGAGTATCGTTTTCGTTAGCTGAGCATAGAAAGAGCCAAGTCACTTGCTGCTCTAGCTGCTTCTGTTTTTGGCAGTCCAAATGAATCTAAACTGATTTTCAAATGCCCCCAGAGGCATCTCTGTTAAATTTGCCAGGATTCAACTAAAACTCTGACCATTTAACATTGCCCGTTTTGGGCTAGCAAATCGACTTGTTTGCAAGGATATAACAATTTGCTTGCATCGTGCTATCTACTCAGATATTTTTAGACCAGATAATTGCCAAATAGAGCGACACGATCGTTATCTTAGGCCGAAAGTGTCGTTCCCCAACGCCCACAAAGAAAGCCGACTGCCGCAGCTCCACAAATTCCAGCTGCTGATATAAAATCAGAAAACATTGCATAAACATTGCGGACAATGGGCCACCTAAATGCAGCGATCGTAAATTTTAGGTAGTTAGCAGCCAGTGGCTCGTTCTGCCGTTTCCTTTCCCTTTCCCTTTCCCGTTCTCTTTCCCGTTCCCGTTCCCATTCCCAGTCCCATTCCCAATTTCGTTCGCATTTCCGAGCTCGTTTTCGCGCGAGAACCTTGAAGTCATAAATTTGTGGCCCGTTGCCGTTGGATGCCTCAAGCATTTCTCTTCGCTTGCTTAACAGGGCAGGCACAGAGCGAAGGCCCCAGGGAAAACCAGAGTTCGTGCTGCACAAGTCTGCGGCTAAGCTTTGCTTTGTTTACTGTCAATAGTCACAAATGGGCTAATGAGAGCTCAGTAGGTGCTTCGTAGCCCAATCTTGACCTGCCTCGTGCTGTTTTTCATTTTCTTTAGCAGCCAGAACAAAATTAGCTGGCAATACAAATGGAACTTAAGAGTGATCGACTTGCAGATACCCAATGTCCGGTGCTAAGTTGTTGCTTGATTTATTTCAGCTTATTTTATAATTTTAGTTTTATTTATTATTTAAAAAGGAAATTATAATTGAAATTTAACTTAGCCACTTGATCGACTGATTCTGTAATTATATTATGATAATATATTACTATATTATTACCGTGATAGCTACAAAGGCAGATATGTAGAATAATATTAGTTCCGTGGATGCCACAAGCATTTTTGATATTTTGAATAGATTTTTATAATCGCCCTACGGCTATATTAACTATGCCGAAAACTAATCACAAACTAGTCTCTTATCTATTTTAAATACGATTTTTCGCTGTTCTTATACTATGTAAATTCATAGATAATTTTTTGGCAAGCTGCAGACTCAACATTGCGTATACGCAACGAAGGCGATAAGGACATGGCGATAAGGACTGTCAAAGCAAAAGAAGGTATCTCCGATTCGTTAAGGTAGTTTCATGCACATTTGTCCATCCATTCGCCTGCTGTATTTATTGATCCCAAACTCGAAATGAAATAGGTATTTCACCAAATATCCTCTCATTATCGCTAGCTCGTTGCATTGGGCTCTTTTGTTTCGCTTGCGACTTCGCTGGAGCCACGAACATTGCTGTATTGGCAGATATATACATCAAATTGGATTTTTTTCGAGGACTATGCTCAGGTCACCTAGTGACCCATAGAGTTTTTCAAAATTTAAAACAATTTGTCATTTTAAATTATTTTTTTTTTTCTTATAAGATGAACATATTCCCTGCACTGCTGCAAAACGGGATATCATACACAGCCAAAAACATTTGCAAAATACCCAGAGAACACAATCCTTTTCCCCATGTCAAACGCAACCCGGCAGAGCAGAAGTCCTCCGTTCGTATACACTCCAGGTCAAGCAATCCCAACGATCCGGACAACTGTAATTACAGGGCCACTAATCATATTAGAGCAAAGTATAAGCACCTGATTAAGGTGAGTGTCCTTCCCTTTCTCTCAAGGTTCAAGAATTATCCAACAATTGAAAAATATTTAAGCCATTGAAAGACTATACTATATATCCTACTATACTACTATTATTAATTATGCAATTAAGAGTTCGAGCAAACACAGTTAAACTCCTATACTACCATAGTACCCATCACAAGAATCTTATAGATCTTCCAGTCACTGGAAGGCGTGGTTCTGCACGTGCTAACATGCTTACACATGTATCTCAGAAACTTCTATTACATTCTTATCGGTTGTAGGATTTCGCTGCCTGCAGCTGTGGGATGGCTCTCATTGTTTTGAATTATCTTTGCGAGATAACTCGAAGGCTATCGCATCTTAGTATTGTCAAGTGATCACGTTTGAACATGCACAAATCTTTATATGTATACGAGAAGGCAGTCATACGTTAATGCTTACAGAGAATGAGAATAGCTCAGGCAATCCACGAATATCCATCTACCTGTCCGGTGGCATGCCTGTCTTTCGGAAACTCAAATAACTTACGTGCCTGAAACTTCAAATGTAGATTAGATTTTACTATAAAAAGAAGATACTTATAAGAGCCAGAGACACACCTAGTTTGAGGAGACCAACAAGTTTCTTCTAAAATAATCAACGACTTTGAATGTTTAGTCCAAGTATTTGCCGAGCTACTCTGATAATCTGGGTATTTGCTAGTCGTATACTCCCGACTGCTGATCAAATGCATTAACAACTAACGCTTCTTCAAACAGGTGCTCAGGGACGATGAGGAGAGAAAGGAATTACTAAATATCGATAAAATTAGGGAGCGAAAAAATAACTATAATAGCATGCAAAATGATAAGGGAAAGGGAAAGGCAAAAGGAAAGGGGCAAAAAGAAGTGAAAGAACAGAGAATCGCTGGAAAAAATATCATTTTTGTGGCTGGTCTAGGTAATATAGGTATGATGGCTAGTCGGGAGATTGTTAAGAAGGGACCAAAGGTAAATAGTCGACGTCGACATGCCAGCTCAATGAAACGTAAGGGCTTAAAAGTCTTTTCATTTAGAATCTGCTGATTTTTGGTAGAGTGTACAAGCCGAAGGCAATGGAAGAGCTGAAACGCATTAATAACAAGACAAAAGTAATGTTCTTTCATTATGATGTAACTGCTCCTTTGGATATAAGCATAGCATTGCTGCATAAAGTCTTTGACTATTATAAAACAATTGATTTGCTTATCAATGGTGCTGGACTGCTGGACGAGCGACAGATTGCGAAAACGGTCGAAGTTAACTTTACGGGTACAGTAAATACCACAACTGCCATTATGAAGTTTTGGGACAAGCGGCTCGGCGGCCCTGGCGGCGTTGTAGCCAACCTCTGCTCCGCTAGTGCGTTCAATCCAATTTACCAATTGCCGGTCTACAGCGCCTCGAAGGCCGCAGTCCTCAGCTTCACTATCTCCCTTGCGGTAACTGACTAAAACTTGTGTATCTATACAGTTTATGCTCATAGCCTTATTCTTTACAGAAACTGGCTTCTCTTACGGGCGTAACAGCCTTCTCATTCAATCCGGGCATTACACGCAATGAGTCGAAGACTAAATGTAACTCGTGGCTAAATGTTGAGCCGTGCGTGGGGAAATTGCTTCTAATACATCCTGTACAGACGGCGAATCAAGCCGGGAAGAGTTTAGTCGTCGCAATCGAGGCGAACAGAAATGGCGTCATCTGGAAAGTGGATCAAGGCAAGCTGGAAGCCATCAAATGGCTAGGTCACAGGCACTGGGATGCTGGCATTTGAAAAGCTTTCAACTTTCACGGAAAGCTCCTATTCATCCATACTAAGTTTTCTGAACTTAAACTCTATTTATTTATTACAGAAGTTATAGATTGCGGTCCGATGTCAGTAAACCAATATTAAAAAGAAATAAATTTAATTAAAAGAAAAAAGTAAGCTCATTTTGTGTAGGCTCGTGCATATCGATATATATGATATTGTTATTAAAAATCAGCCTAAAAGTATGTGGCAAAAAGCTTAAGCATTCATTTTAATAATGGTGTATGCACTGGCTAAGCACGCAGTGCACTGCTTCATCTGTTCCCAAGCAGTCGAAATGTTAAAGCAGGTTGTGTAAGCAGTATGAATATTAATTAATATAAATAAAACAATTGTTTTTTTAATTTAGTTATCAAACGAATTGTGGATTACGTTAAAGCTGAATCCCAGACATTGCTGACTAACTTATAAAAAGCAACTAAGTTTCAGGTCAACAAATAGCTCATATTACAATATTTTGAATGAAATTTTCGAAGTCTTGTTAGAAGGAACACTGATCCCATTAGTGTGCATTTTGGCATGTTCAAAGGTGCAATAATTTAATTTGTTTGTTTACACTCAAAAGATACGACACTGAATACTGGACTGATAATGAATAAAGATTTATTTTCGATTGCTCCTTTTTGTATCATCAGCCAGAGGAGTTCTTTGTGAACGCTTTCCTTCCCAATTTAACATTTAAAAATAAAAGACGCAATTTTGTTTAATTAACTTGAAGTTTATTTTTGTTAAATTATTATTATAATTTAAGTATAATACATTTTGTACAATTTAAAATTAATTTAAATTAAAATAAAAAATTGACATATTTATATAAACGCATAAATCAAGTGACAGACAAAACATTGGCCCTCGGCATACATATACGTATATATATAGAACTCTCGATATACATATACACAAGCATTATTTTATTTATATGTATGTATATTAGGTATATATATATATGACGTATTATCCTCATTATGTATGTACGATATGTATGGTAGTCAGTATATGTATATGAAGGTATCTAGAATGGGACTCATCATCAACAAGTTGTGGAAGGCTACATCCAAATAAAATACTTTATAAACATTAACCACATATATAACTCGATATATATATATACATATACATATATATATATATATATGAATGTGCAGGCATGTGAAACTATGTACTATTAGTACTATAAAGTAGAGGTGCACTCGTTGTTGTTGTTGTTGTCGTCGTCGAAGGTGGTCTTGGAGCTTGGTCTAAATCGGCGTGCTGCATATGGGTATATATGTGCCTATATATGCGTGTGTATAGATGTGGGAATGTAGGAAGTGTAAGCAGTACGAGTACCATTCCTTGGTTATTGCTAAGCATCACATACATCACCTGTACGCAGGTGTATAAGTGCTTAGCTCTTTTGCTTGCTCTGCTTTGCTTATGCGTAGTTAACTTTACTTTATGCGTAGCGTAGATTTAACGGTTTATTCCCGCCTCTGTACTTTCGTAGTATTTAATATAATTCAACAATTGTTTTGTTTGCGTTAAGTACCTGGAATCGAATAGCGATATTTTTACCTTTATCTTTAATTCTATCTAACTTCCCGTGCTGTCCTCTGCCCCATTACACTAAGTTACGTTTTTCAAGTGAACCACACTTTGGATCGCCCATGTCCCAACACTGCTTCTCTCCCTCTCTCCCTCCCTCCCTCCCTCTCTCCCTCTCTCTCTCTCTCTCTCTCTCTGTCGGTCAGTGAAGCACCATCCTACAGCTGCACCTGGAACGTTTGCGCTGACGCCTTCGGCGGTGAGATAAACGGATTCGTGCTGTGCCTGTTGCTGCTGCTGTTGATGCCCATACCCATGCCCGATCCGGTTGCCGTTCCCGGCAGATCCGGCGACATTTTCTTAGCCGCTGCCACATTGGCTGCCCACTCTGCGTCAAAGGGATCGGGATCGGCTCCTGCACCACCGCCATTCGAGGCACTCGCCGCCATGGTCTGAGCACGTCCCACGTTCGCCAAGTAGCTGGGCCGTTTAGGTGGTATAGCAGGCGAAGTGGTGCGCACCACCTGGCCCAGCCACTGTTCGGCATTAGGCAGCTCGACTGCATCGGCGACCGGCTCGAAGCTGGTACGCTTGGGCGAGTGCACTGGCGGCGGCATGCTGGCCACGCGAGGTGGCACTTGAGCTGTGGGCGTGCCACTGGCGCTGTTGCTGCCGCTGCCACTGGTGCTGTACGAGATTACCTGCTGCTGCTTCTCGGCGGCAATGATGTTCTGATTGATGCTGCGGTTGTTGTTGAAATTCAGATCATCCCCAGCTGCCAGCAGTGTGTCTGTCTGCGTGAGCAAGGACAGTCCCTGGCTGAGCTCCTGGCACAGCTGGCTAACCGTGTCGGCGGCCATGATGGCCGGATCGCCACCCGTCTTGGCCGGCGAGACCTCCGCAATGGGCGAAACACTGCGCAGCGGAGTGTGCAGCGCGTGTGGATTTGGATTGCCGGCGGCAGCGGCCAGGAAGGCCTTCTGCCTATCCGCATTGGACGGAAGATCGTTGAGACGCAGCGACATCTGGCGCTTGAATGGCGACTGGCTGCCGATGGTGCTTAGCCGGAAGGAGCTCTGCCGCTCCAGCATGTTCGGTGTGGCATGTGGCCGCTCGATGGCGAACGGATTAAACGGCTTCACAGTGGCGGCTGGCGGCCCGGGAAGCGCTGGACCATCCACACTGCGCTCGTTGCTGCCCACCGTGGCCATGGCCAGGCGCTCGGTCAGCGACTGCTGTCGGAAGGAGCCCGTGCGCGTGAAGGTCGAGTTCTTTGTGTCGAAAGTCATTGTCACGCCGCACTCCTTGTCGCGACGCTGCTTGCGCTCCAGGCAGACGGCGAAGGCACAGCCAACAGCGTGCGACAGCCTCTCGCCGGAGTCCTTGCAGGCGAGAAAGCCGTGGCACATCCAGCGCCGAGTGGTTCCATCCCGGCAAATGTAGCTGAAGCCGCGCTCGTGATTCCGATCTGGCGCACAGAAGCTCACCTTCTCAATGGTCTGGTCCACAATGAGCCCCTTCGTCTCATCGTCCACAACACGCAGGCCATCTCCACTCACATGGAGCAAGCCACGCACCGGCCGGCGCCTCGATTGCTGCAAAGCGAATGACAAATTAGATAAGTAATCCCTTTAATCATAAATAAAGCCCAATTGGCGTGCACTCAGAAGATATTTGACCTGCGCTGGATATCTAATCTTTCCTAGCTCCGATTAACATTCCAGGCAAACTTTTCAAATCAATTAATTGATTTGCGCATAGATTAGCAACTATTGATATGCTTATCAACTGCAACAAATACGAAAAATATAGACATATGCGAGGGTTGTCTAAAAAGTATTTGAATATTAAGTGGAGCTAAAGAAAACTAGATGAAAAGAGGAGAATCTAAATTTTGATATTTAAATCACAATATCAAATATCAATATGCGAGGGTGGTTTAAAACTATACGAACATTAAGTGGATATATAAAAAAACTAGATGAAAATAGAAAAATCTAAATTTTGATATTTAAATCACAAAATCAAATATAAATATGCGAGGGTGGTCTAAGTGGATATCTAAAAAAACTAGATCAAAAGAAAGAAAAATCTAAAGTTTTTTATTTAAATCACAATATCAAATATCAATATAAATATCAAATATAAATTCCACTCAATTTGATCAGTTAACATGAAGATTATATCAAACGACCCTCGTTTATATTGCTTCCTGCTTCTTAGTTATCAAACAAACTCGCATACCCTGTGTGCAGCTGGTCAACTGAAAGTTGTGATACCCTGTATACAGATTAAAAGCTTGTCAAATGAAAGATTTGCTCGTTTTCAGACCATCTATATCTATGTGCCCCGAAAGTATTTATATTCCTGATTAGCTACTGCCAGTTGGCATTAATCTTCGAGTTTTTTACAGCCAATTTTGATTCCACAATCAATCTTAGTCCATTTGACTCACCCTTAATACTTTGAGTGCCTCCTCGCAGACCTGCATGCCGCGCGACTCGAACACCTCGACGCAGCCCAAGTACTTCACTGAGAAGGAGCAGGTGGCTGAGCGCACGGCCTCCTCGTCGGCCTGCCACTGATGCGGCTTCGAGGATTCGGGCACCCGATCCTTGCGACGTCTAAACGAGTCGCGGAACGAGCGCCGTAGACGATCCATCTTTTTGGGCGATTTCTTGCTAAACCGGAACGAAGCGGATTTCTGTGTGGATATCAGATAGACAGAAGTTTAGCATAACGATTCATATAGGTGTGCATGTGGTGCATTATGACAGACAGTAAAGAGAAACAAGTGCCGATCAACCCCTGTTGTTGTTGTTGTTGTTGATGTTGTTGTTGATGTAGTTCTTGTTACCTACCCCATTCTTAACATCGCCGAATTTTCCGCGTGTGAAGCCGCGCTCCAGTGGTTCGTGCGTGTGTGACGACGAGTTTCCCATGGCTGTGGTCTGCTCGCGCTTTCCCCTTCACTCTCGTACGTCTGGCAGCTGCTCCTGCTCTTCCTCTCTCTCCCTCTCTCTCGCGCTCTCGTTATTCGGGTTGGCTTTTGCGTGAGTAAAATGCTGCCAATAACCGTTACAGCTTTGAACAACGTTGACAGCGTTGCCAGATGTCACACGACAGCTGCTTCTCGTTGTCTCGCTGTCTCGTTGTCTCTCTTTCTCTCCTATCTTTCAAGTAACAGTCTCGTGTTGATAGTTTCTATATATGTTAAAATATTGTGTGTTTTATATTATTTGATTGTATTTTATTTTATTGATCTATTTATTGGGCTGTTGCGTTCGCAATTTTATTTGTTCGTTAAATTTGAGTTATGGGCTTTGATTAAATTAATTGATGAGTTGCTGTTGCTGTTGCTGTTGCTGTAGCTGTTGTTGCTGCAAAAGTATTTAGAACGAGTGTTGGCATTGTTTAGGTGGCACTATCTAACGGCACTTTGACGTCTCTGCTATGCATTGATTCGATTCTGTGAGTCACAATTCATTAACGCTTATCGAAGGGTGTCACTGACAACGCCCCTAAAATTCAATTGATCTTACATATCAATGGGAGCTGATCCATAACAGTTGCGTTTTGTAGTATTGAATGATTTAGCAACCTGCCTCTGCCAGGCCGAATCTCTAGTGCTACTGCCTAGCCAAATGCATATTCAAGGCTAGATAACCTGCGGGAAAGCAGCCCCAACAACCTCCAAACTATCAGAACTTCGACTACAAGCCCCAAGCCACAAGCCCAGTCGCGCCTTATCGTGCGCGCGGTCTTGCCTGTCTCACGTAATTGTTTACACATATTTAGTATTATTTTTTATTTTGCTTTATATTTTTAATTTATTTTATTTTCTATTTTTTCTTCTTATTTATTTATACTTTGTGGGGCTTTTGTTTTCTTTGCGCTGCGGCGACATACGCTGACGTTTTTGTGACTTTATCACATGTCTCATATTGCGGTAAACTTTGCCGGACTTTGTGAGCTCTGTGTGCTTTAATATATAATTAGCCTGTCCCCAGCACACGAGCCACCCGAAACGCTGACAAAGTCAACAAGAGAAGGAACTGCATTAACTTATGTCGGATCTAAGCCAAACTGCAGCTAAATGCTTGAGATGGACAAACGAGTTCTATTAATTATACAACTCGAATGGACACTTAGATGGGTTCTTAGGAGAAAACTTCGTCTGTTACGTGATCTCGAACGTGTTTCCCACTAACTGTAAAAGAGGAACATGGCAACTTCTTATCAGACACATTACATGCATGTTATCTTATAGGAAAACAATGACTGATGCCAGTTTACAGAGCTGGCTGAGTAAGAGTGGGCAGCGGCTTCCATCTTTGGTGCAGCTAGGCAACCGCACTTAACTGTAAATCTAAGAAAACCGGTTTCTACCAATGCCCAGTTCTACTTAGCTGGGGGATGTCGCCTCTCTGCAAGGGCAATCGACACGGCTTTGCTCTGCTCTGCCCAGCTCTGTCTGGGTGTGGGGCGTTGACTTGTAGCTATTGTGACTGGATGCTGGTTTGACTGCATTTCTGGCCAGAGGCAAGTATTGGAGTCTGGGCGTGACTGCGACTTTCCGAAAGGGTCAGCTAACCTAGCTAATCAAATTGTGGGCCTAAGCCGTGAGATTTAGATTTGTGTTGGCCCCAGCCAGCTGCTGCCTTTCAATAATGTGGGTCACTCAGCACAATCGTATTGTGTTTCGCTTTCAAGAACTGTTTTCAAGCGCACTCAGTGAGCCACGTGAAGTGCCTATAGTCCTGTCCTATTGGCAATCTATGTTGACTACAGTATATATAGCATTCTATTTGACAGTGCATTAAGATATGATAAGCTTTTTTAGGTCACTTTCAGTTTTTAACCATACTATAATATATATATAAATATATCTGATATGAGTTATTTCATATCGAACTCTTTTGTAGACTTCAATAAAGCAAAATCGATAATATTTAAAGCAATAGTTGATCGAAATATATCTAAGCTCTGATATACACAAGAGTATCTCAGTCATTAGATTTATATTATAAATTTATAGTCTAAGAGACTCAGCACATTTTGTTGTTTGTTTTCATTATGATTCATTTGCTCGAAAACCGAGTGAACGACACGTTTCGCTTATAAACAAAATATTAATGAAACTGCAGATTTGAAGATAAAAAAGCCTATTAAGTCACGCTCTAAAACTGAACATGATTTCAGCAGTGACAACAATGGACCACAAAATGAACATCATCCGAATGGGGGTTCATTCAACCACTAAGCCATCCGCAAACAGGTTCCACTCGACCATGAGGAAAATCAAACAGATCGGAAAGTAGTTGAGATACATACGCCGATTACAAACAGATCTGTATATATACATATACACATATAGCTACGTAAAGGTAATATCAATGTTTGCTTCATATATAAAATTTGTATATTTACCCCGCTGGCTAATTAACAAAGGCCATAAACCTGATACCATCTGCGTCAGTGTAATTTCCAAACATTCACATTCAACTAGATAACGTTGCAGATTTAGCCATGCAGAGAAGCTGGGCAGGCCTCGAATTAAATCAAATCAATCACAGAGAATTTTAAACAAATCGAATATGAAAAGGAAATGAATCAAGTGAACTCTGATAATTGAAACTATTGAAGTCAGGCGTGCCAAATCGAAGTCATCTGATATCGATCTGCCGCTCACTGGGAGCACATGTTATCAATGACACGTTTGCATCCACAAATCATAAGTCGCTGATCTGTAACACATGACATTCTATGACATAATGAAATAATGAAAACCCGTAAATTAGCGTGCCACAGCCAATGGCAAGTGGCAAATGGCAAAATTGTGCCTTTAGACGCCATTAAGCAATTAACCCCCACGACCAATTTGCAGCGCAGTCATTGACACTACTAAACCAGACGCCTATCCACATATACCATATTACTATATTGTATAGTAATACAGTAATTAACATTGGCGCCCACTAGCTGCTGCCTAGTGAAGCTTTTTATGTCTATACATCACTCTGTATTTAATTGGACACCAAAACATGTTGCACACTCAGCAGACACCGATCACAGCCGCGTCTATCCAGCTTTGGTCGGTTGAATGCTCAGCAATTTTACCTTGTCAGAGATCCGACTTGGTTTCTAAAGGCAACTTGGGCTAAGTTCAAATACATTGATTTGGAAGGAAGGCCTAACAATAATCCTGGATTAGTGCTAGCTGACTGAGCCCATTCGCTTAAGCTTAGCACATTCCACTGGTAATCAGCTCGCAGCGTGAGATGCTGCACAGAGATTAGTGGACAGGACAACAGAGTTGATGCTGAAGCCTTATTCTAACATACGTCGTCGGATGGTTGGGTCTTCAAATAATAGCAGATTAGATACTGAAATCTTATTCAGAACCATACCCTCCTCCTTTGGGTTGGATTTAAGACAATTGCAGAGTTGCTGAATCTTTTGTGAAAAGGTAGTTACATCTCGTGTCGTTCAGGAATTTAGTTGAAAAGGTAACAAGGAAGAGGCCATAACCTTATTTATATGCGCAGATGTTAATGGCGAAACCTTTGAAAACCATAAAATCATATAAGTAGAATGTATTCGATATGATTAAGTTATCAAACAACAATGCCTTTCTTAGGTCGAATATGCTAAATGCCTATACCAAAGCTCAATCTCTAAATAACTGAAACCTCCGTAGTCAATGAGCACTAATTCTTCCGATGGATCACTACTAAAATGTAGCTCAGTATTGAATGAAATCAGACCTCTTTAAGTCTCAACTCTCAGTAAGCTAAGAAACAATTAAATATTCAAGTCTATTCAAGCCTCTCGCATCAGTAGGTAGTTCTGCCTAGGCAACTCACTACTCAAGTCAACTCAATAGCAGCGCATCACCATGTAGACAATATATATACATATATACAGATGTGCATTCCGGGATGCATTCAGGAGTTCACACGCTTTGTGGTGGTAAGAAAAAAAGGATACACAGTTATGGCTTCCTCTTTTCCTTTGGCCAGCTTTCTGCGCGTACTTAATATGCAATTATAATTATGCCGCCCTGTGTTTTGTCTTCTGGCTTCATCGTCGGCCAGAGGGATCGAGGGTTTATCAACCACCAAAGCTGAAGCCAAGTATGTTCACAGCTACGACGTCCTTTCTACCAGCGTAGTCCTTTCCAACAGAACAGCCAACTATTTTGTTGTTTTTTCGTAATTTTTTTCATTTGTAAGGGGGGAGGGTTTGCTTATCGGAGTGTCGGAATTTAAAATTTGTAAACTCGCAGTTTGTGTTGGTGGTCGTGGGAATTTTCATAAAAAAAATAAATGTCAAATTAATGCGGCACATAAAAAATACAGGCACATCATACAAGCTAGCTGAGCGGATGCTTAGCAAAGTAATTAAAAGTGTGTTCCAAGGCAATTAGGCTTTGCTGTACAAAAAGGCAGGCAGCGCAACAGCTCGTAGGTCTTCATCAACTTTCGTATGCTAAAAAAGATTCTTTTAGAGTTCTAGTTCAGCAAAACCAATATGAAAACATACCCAGAGGAAGGAAGAAATCTCAGAGCAAATGAAGCACAAAATTCCCACACTCTATGCGCGTTTTCTTTACTCTCTCTGTGTTCATGGCACAATCGACTGTCGTCTCGGCTCGAAAAGGGTTGCTTAAGATTTGCACAGAATAAGTTGCAAAACAATACCCTAAGATTTGTGCGACTGCTCGCAAGATGCCTGATGCGATGCCACCAAATGACGCTCGGCTCACACATGGAGACAAATTCACACGATGGTGCCAAAGCGCACCCTTAACTACCCGGGTGGCAGCAGTAGGCGCCTAGGGGTAAGCCTAGGGGGCAGGGGTATACATTGCTATGCACCCAGACCGAATGCAGCCAGCCCTAATATCCAGCTGCACTGCCATGTGCTCGGCTGTTGAAGTGCGTAATTATTAGCTGTCAATTGGGCGTTGATCGGGCCACGGAATTTACCTGGACACCATGGGAACTGGCTGCAAGGTATGAGAAAATGGATTTTGCTCTCTCGATTGAATCTGTGCACAAATCGCGGATCTGCCTTCCATTGGCAGCTGATACAATTGCAGAAGCCATAAGCATAGATGTCCTTTGACCTTTCACATCATTTACATTCCTCAGAGCTAAGAATGTCAATTATTGTAGACTGTAGACTGTAAATGTCTATGAATATAAATCATAATTCAGGCTAGTAAGACACTGTTCTGTATTTCAAATCATTGAAATATTTGTTTTAATAATCAAGTTGCCTGACTGCAGGAACAAAAACAAACTCGCATAAGAAACCACTTGAAAACAAAAGCAGGAAACCAGGAGCGGAAGTCACAGAAGTCGTCAAAGAAAAG